GAAATCATAACTGATTCGCTCTAATTTCTAAAGTACTATCCAAAGAATTGTAGCATAGAAAGTTTTCGGTTTTTCGCTTCATATTTTTATGAAAAATATTAGTCGCGTAAGTAATTACAATCATATCCTTTCTCTTTTTCATAAAAAATATTTGCAACCGACACGAAAACTCTGCTGAGCAGACTGTGAGCAAACGATTCCACAGAAGTATTGGTGAAACAATCATCTAATTTAGGCTGATCGTGTATACGTAAAGCCATTTCTGCTTCTTGATATCTGAAGTAACACTCATATTTTGAAGCAGGTATAAAACAAAAATTTGTGTACGATAAGTTTGCATCGAGATACATGCATAAACATTTTGAACACTTAACACTATATTTTGCTGGCCTATAAAACAAGCACATTCGCTTTGTATAATGTTTACCAATAAAGGTTTACTGAGAATATTTAACAAGAGTTTGTTAGCCTTAGTATTTGGTTGGATCATTTCAACAGTAAGAAGAACCCAAAAAGATTAATTCTGGTATGTTACAGCTACGATTTTTATAAAGCTTAAAATATATTCCTCAAATCATTAAATTACTACCAAATTAGATTTCTAATGTAGAACTAACGTATAAGGTAGACCACTAATTTCCTAAATGTTTTGCTACATTTTAAACTGCACATATCATTTGTTCGGAGCTTGAAACTCCCCAGCTAATATCAAAAGAACGAACTGTCCAGAAGCTTTAAAAGAAGTTTAAATAACTGCGTTTACTTACTTATTTTATTATTTATATCAATCATATGAAACACGGAATTTTCTACAACTGGATTCACAGAGGCATTTCTTTGCAGACATTTGAGAAAAAGCATTCCGTTATGAATTTAACGAAAATATAGAAAAATTATACTTTTCTAGATGGTAACAGCAATGTGCAAACAGATAACGAATTTCCGGAGATGAAAGGAATTTGAGTTTCAATAAATTATATGCCGCCTCCAAGCGCTCAGCTCGAGTCAAACAGTATGCGTATAAATACAACGAATCACTGGTATTCACTAAAAGATCAGAATATTATCTAATTCATAGTTCTACTTTTTATTAATGACTTTCCTATACAATGTGCGTTTGAGCATTATGTTTTATCGAACTTTTCAAGATTTGTTTAAAAATTTCCCAACATTTTGCAAGCACCACAGTTTTCGTCAGAAAAGTTCCACTTTCGCATTCTTTTTACAAATGAAACTAATAGTATTTCTGAATAGATCAAAAAAAGGCTACCTGTTTCATGATACACTTCGGCCAGCATTACCGCATCATCGTACTCAAAGTGTTGAAGGGAGCAATGTATAATATTCTAAAAAGAATCAAATTTATTAGGAAACTGAACCTATGGAGATTATTAGAAAATGTAACTTTACGCATATTAGTACTAATTCATTATTTGAGCAACTCAAGTTTAATTAGAAATGAGCACAGCAATTAGAAAATGAACCTCAATTTCTTCACTACGCGTGGGATTCATATTATTAGAAGGTGTAACTTTACGCATATTGGTACAGAAGCACCAACAGTCATACAGCAATCACTAGATCTGATCTCGTTATTCTTTCCTGCAACAAATTCATCGAAATACTTGACTGTCTATTAAAATCCAAATTCATTTGACGAGACGGGTTCTGACTAAGTGATCAATTAATACGATTTACTGGACTAATGATATGCTTATTGGTGGTGTCTAACGGAAACAGGAAAGTTTTGCTTAGTAGGAATTTTGACTTACAGTAAAACTCGAGCACGAGACCTATGGTCGACTCAGAGCCTGTGATAAATTTAATCTGCAAAATTATGAAATGATAAGTTGTGTATAACTGACGGTGTATAACTGACAAGAGTTGATAAGAAATAGTGAACAAACAAGCAAATGTGACACAAAGTCTGACAATAAATTCAAACGTTTGTTTCACATAATATATCAATTAGGTACTGGCTCAAAGCTATGCATGAATTTCAATTTGCCAAGCTAAGCCAACTAGCATATACACCTCTTCGTTATTTTTTATTTTGTTGTTCTAAAGATTCACCACATAATTACACTTCAACATCTCTTTAGTGCTATTTAGTGCTCTTTAGTGCTATTCCTTTAGCCTTATAATGTCATCTGAAAATGGAGCTAACATTTTCTTTGCAAAAATGAGAGACATTTAGAGTTGAAAAACCTCAAGAAACAAAGGACCTTATCTGAGTAAATTTTCCCATTCAGCATGCTCAAGTTGATTACAGAATGAAGTAAACCTTCATTTTTAGTTTTTAAAGAACAAGGTCAGTTAGTATCTGCGTAAGTCTTCGCAAATTATCCTACTTACCGACAAAAAATTGCTATCAGGTACAGTGTTATGCTCACTTTTTTTTGTCTTCAATGCTTACCACTTCACGTATGTTGTCATATTATTCTGCAAGATGAGTGAATCAATAAATTCACCATTCTAATCTTTTTTGACAATGAAAGAAACTGTCATACTTTTAGAGTTCAAGAAAACCAGCGTTTTAAGGAGAAAGAGTAATCTAAGCGAAGTGAAAGGAAACCATAAAGGACCTATAAAAAGGACGGAAGACAAGGTCTCTTATGCTGTACTTTTACCTTCTGTCATGGAAGTTCAATTAAGAACTAAGCATAGCGTAACGAAGTTGAAGTAAAAAACGATTCAAGATACTACTAACACTAAGTGAAGTCAGTTGATGTCAGAATGGCGTATGTGAAGGAAGCGCTCGAGGTCCTCCCAAACAATACTTAGCTAGGCACTAGGAGAAAACTAGCTAGGAACTGTTTTTCCTCGTGGAATTAGTAAAATTAGTAAAAGGATTTGCGACACATTTCGCCACACTACAGATACTTCAATCGCCATATCCCGTCAAATTGCAATCATAATCTCACTCAATCTCCATATCTAGTCGGATCATTCAGCTTTCACGTTGCCCCAATCATACGTCACTGTTGTACCCTTGCACCTCACACTGCTATGACGAAAACAGAAATGCTCTTCTCAATAAGAGCACCACTGAGCGACAAACTTTCCACATGAATTCAAAGTTTTGAATTAGCGGGTAAATTACTGTAAGGCCATTTCAAAGTTTTGTCTGTAGATAGCTAAAACAGTGGGAAAGAAAGAGATTTCGGTTTAAAAAGTTGCACGGGCCAAGTTAGACGGATAGATGGCTAGAAATAGTTTGTGTCAGTGAGGCAGAGGGTCGGCTGTTTAATTATAAAAGGGATGTAAGGCAAAGTGTTCTCACGGAGTGGTGGTGGTACGGACGACGTGGCGTGCATAGTATGACTTGTTATCGTTGTTGTTTCAGGTGTTGGTCAACTCGATAAGACGTGATAGTATGTCGGAGTTAGCTGTTAGCAATTGTTTCAGTCTCCTCTGTGGAAAGTAAGTTTCACGTTATTTGTTGAGTTTGATAACTTTTCTAACGGACGAAAAGGGTTTTTTCAAAATTCTTTTGAACATCATTGTTCAGTTGTAAGCACTGGAAAGTAATAACTTGAGAGATGGCTCAGTGTTTAACCAAAATACCTCACCATACATCAGGTTAATGGGACCTCGCTGTACATCTTTTTGCTCTCATGAAAACAATTCCTTAGAAAATGTACATTAACAGAAGAGAAGAGCAGCAAAGAGATGAAGAAGAGAGTACAGTCACTTCTTCTAGTGATGTGAAATCATACCCTCTATGGTTTTTCCTTCATCTAAATGGTTATCTTGAACTCTGTGTCCTTACTGCAGTACATGAGATGTGAGAAACATGCGAACAGTAATACTAAGTAGGGTCTTTATTACAGTCGAAGATCATTTGAGAATTTAATTAATCTACTGGATATATGGTCGCATAGAGGTTATTAGTATAACTTTATTTCTTAGGATCGCAGCGAATGCGAAACGTGACCGTATCATCGAATGGTAAACTCACCCAATGTTGTTCGTACTTCTTTTTATATTTACGGAAAATCCTGGTGGTTTTTCGTCGTCACTTGTTGACATCTTATATGTTTTCTTGTTTTCAGCTGTAAACGTGGGCACGTGGGCCTCGAGTGTTATTCCTGACGCCCCCAATGGTGACTTATTTAATAACGAGCATATTCGCTCTTTGGAGAGTTTTGTTAATGGTAACTCTTTGCACCCTTTATTTGCCGCTAAGGTTTTGTGTTGAAAATTTTCTCGGCTTAATTCTTCAAATCCTCATTTCGCGACATTTTTATAGTAATAATCGATGAAACCCCCAAAAGTTGATGCGCACTACCATGTTAATTTATTCGGGTTCGGCATGGAGTAAAGTTAATAAGGAAACTTCAATTTAAGGCACTGGGTTTAAAGAATGAGACCACTAATATGTATGAAAACCAGAAACTCTAGAAGGCATGACTGGTTTATTGCAATATTTCCAGAAGTTTCATCAGATTGGTGTTGTCATTTGGTGGAGGGCAATATGTTAGCAATATTTCTTCCTTTTGATCAGCGCACATGGGATTTATCGAAGGGTGCATTTGTCTCGTTGTTAGAATTTTGTGAAGACAGTTTGCCAGTTAAACGTATCCTACTTTGTCTAAACAAAATCAGCGTCGATGAAACGGTACATTTTGATTAGATTACTTTTCGTTAGAATGTTCTGTTAATAAATGTTCATGACAAATGAACGGTATGTATTTTGTAAAGTAACACAGGAACCTTATCTGTTCCTTGATTTTGATCGTACATAATTTCCGCACGAACCATGTGTAGTCTTTCCTCAGATGGTTGCAGACGTTATTTCCTCATACTGAAGACATATTGTCAATTATGATTTTAACATACTAGGTCAAGTAGCGTACTTATTGTAATTCTTTATGTTTAATATCAATTATTTCAGGTCATTTCTTGCTTCAAGTATTTGGGCTTCAGTCCTCTTCATCCTCATTCATATCCCTCCTGTATTGACCCTCAAGGAGTGTTTGCAATGGTTTACAATATGTGACGCATTTTTTTTTTTTATTTCCCACAGCTTGAAACATCCCTAAAAGTGTGCTATCTTAGTGGAAAGAACCTGTATATCCTGACAGTAATTCAAAAATGTTTTAGTTTGCACAGTCAGATATTTCCTATGATTAGTTGAGTATTACGGTATATCCTTAGGTATTTTTTAGTAAATGGCAATTTCGAACCGTGTACTTACTTATCTGTGAAAATTTCTGCTTTGATTTTGTATTTCGTTATATATGTTTATTACTTTGGGACTGGTTTATTTACTTATTGCATTAGAAGTTTGGGAACTGAGATCATGTTTATATGATTACTTCCGTTTACGGATGAAATATGCATTCTAAAAATGATGTGCTTTAAAAGAATCGTAAGTTAGTAGGCGAGGCATAATTTTCAGATTTTGTAGTTCGTACTTTTTGTAAATATATTTTCACCGAATCATTTATTTAGTATGTGGTCATATTTTGATCTGATTTGCTAGATGTTTTGGTATAGTTCCAATTTTTGTTTGGCTTAATTCTGTAAAAATGGCTTTCTTTAATTTTATAAATTTTTATAAATAACTTTCTTTATAAATAACGTTTTTATAAATGACTTTCTGTTTACTGATAGATACCAATTCCATTTATTGTATTTCTTGGAGCGGATTTATTTGGAATAATTCTGTAGTTTTTTAAAAAATACAGTTCTGTAGAGACATTCTTTTGCTGCTTACATTTGAAATCAGTATATGTACTACATACTTTATGCGAATATGAAAGCAAGGAGTTAAATACAAGTTTTACTGAAATGGGTGAACGTTTTATGGACATCCAATACGAATTAATATGGGGAAATAAATCCAAATAATGTAGCAGAAATTGAGCTAGAAGATTTGGGATGATTTTTATTTTTATTTTTATAAACAAAACAAGCAATGAAAAAACCACAAGCTGAATGGCGACTGCAGGATTCTTTTAGTAACTTTGAATTCTCTTGAATTATCAAAAGAGGAAAAGTATTCGCTCAGAGAATAATCCCTAAGAGTTTTTGGAGGACATGCGTTGTTTGATTTATGTTAATTATACAAAAGATTTTTCACGGGAAATACTGGCGAGATGTATGATTAATGTGATTCAGTAAGATTTCTACCTTGCTTGTGTCATTTGTAGAGTAGTGATTAATCTCGGAAAAATCGATAATAGTTCAGGTTCCCTTAATTAGGACAGTTCTTTGTTAGGATTGTGGAGGAACACCGAAAAAGCAAGATGGAAGGATTTTGTGAAAACTTATCAGGCGATAGGAAGCTGAAATATCTCCTGGATATTTTACCGTTGGACACTGTTGAGTACGCATGCGCCTACGGCTCGGGTGCAGTACCGCAGGGGAGTGACCTACGGCTCGGCAAAATGGTCGATTTCATTATTGCAACGAGTGATTCAAATCAATTTCATAAGCAGAACTTGAAAATGAATCCGATGCATTATTCATCATTACGTTTTTTGGGCTATCAAAAGATTGCGCAATTGCAAAGGAACTATGCGGCCCGGGTGTATTGTAACACTCGAGTATTATACCAGGTATGGTTTAAACTCCACTTTTTGAAATTTTTTATAACGACTTATTCCACTGATTTGGATGGTGCATTGTTTTGCATCTAATAACCAACCTTATAACATCTTAAGTTCCTACTAAAAGCTCAAAAATCAGAGTCATTAGAACCTGAATCAGTTTGGGAATTTTCAGGGTCATCTTATAAAGTATTCTGTAATTGATACCGATGATTTTTTACTGGATCTGATTGAATGGAGGTGGATATATTTAGCGGGAAGATTGCAGAAACATGTTGTTGATGTTGTCAATCCTTCATCGAGGATAGCTTTCGCTATGAAAAAGAATCGTTGCAGTGCTTTACGGGTAATCGAGTCTTTGTTGATTTTTCTGCCGGATTTTAATTTTCTTGAAAGCCCAAGATTTTATATCGACATTCAGTCATAGAAGCTTCCAAGCATCTTGATTGCTTTTGCCAATGTTATATGCATCTTCACATTTTTTCAGGCAGCATTGTTATTTTTGCCGGACAAATTTTCACTTTCACAATTTTACAACGAGCTCATATCCCTTTCATATCGAGGTGATTTTCGCATGTTATTCGGTGAAGACAGAAATAAAACAGAAAGAATTGCTGAAGGAAGTAGGGTTCAACTTAATCAAATCTACGTGCCACTCCTGAAAGCTGACAAAGATGTTTCCATCCAAGGCCAAACCATTGAACAAGTAACCATGTTTTCTACAAAATGATGTTATGTATTACGAAACTTCATGCAGATAATGGAAAATTGTCGGCATTACAAACTTCTTCAGGAAGGAAGATGGGTAGCTGGCAGACTGAATCAAAAAGAAACTGTCCCCGAATTCCGTAGTGTGTCTTATTGTTATATAGCATATAATTCTTTAGGATAAATGCGACGCCGTATTATTCAAACGAATTATAGAATTACCATTTAATGTACTTTGGAATTTGCAACGCAGAACTAACAGCAGGAACGAAACGCAAAACGATATAGGTACCACATTTTTTAAAACGTTATCCATAGCACTTGTTACAGCAAAGTAGACAAGAGATGCAAACTCCTAAATATTATGATTCAGCTGGCATTTTTTTTAAAACGTCACCCATAGCACTTGCTACAGTAAAGTAGACAAGAGATGCAAACTCCTAAATATTATGGTTCAAGAAGAGATTGCTGCTTCACTGGCACGGCAGTTGGATAGACCGAAACCTGTTGCTGAAGCCATCGAAGATATTGTCTGGAAATCTGCTTTGCAACAAACTGTAAAAAATGCATTTTCTGCGGGTATCACGCGCTCAATTGCATACGCTTTTACAAAGATCACAAAAATGCTAAAATCATTGAAACATTTATAGCGTTAGAACATGATGTAGAATACAGTGTACAGTATTGATCTTCACAAATAAAAAAGCAAGGGAAAAGCATGGTATTGAAGAATCCGAACTTCGGAATGCTATTTTCTCACTTTTCAAATGCGATAATACTATATTGCTGAAGTTGACAAGTTTTTCAGTTGACGGTTTTATAATGAGCATAGAAGGCAAAATATTACATTTTTTGCTTAAAAAAATCTAGTCTTATGTTCTAAATGTTTGATCATTGTCAAACTCTCTTTTGTGACTAAAGTGAAACAATTATAAAAATATGTGAAAGCAGTTATAGGACATTGTTATGCTGTGCTAGTGATGTTTTGAAATTCGATACAAAGAACACTTCATGAATTCGTTGTAAGTGATGGATAGGGAGGCCTGATATACCGAAAGTAAGAGGGCGACGAGGCTTATGCAAATTCTATTTGTTAAAACTTAAACGCTGGGGAAGACTAGAAGTGCTGTATTTAACAACACAGAAAATGTTTTGCAATACCATATCTTAATTCATTTGGGTTCTGGAACATTTCGGGAACAAAAATTTATAACAAAGAAAAACTGATAAGTCTGTATGAATTAGATTCTAAAAGAACTTAAATAACTGAGAAAAGTTGTCTTACTATTGAGATGAAGCAACTGAACTGAAAAGTTGAAAAAACAAGTACGAAAATCCATATAGCAGCAGAATCTTAATATACATTGTAAAAGCGATCACTAATAATTTTACAAACCGTGGATCAAGGATCTATAAACGGTAAAAATGCATAAACGACAGGGTTCAATTTGAAAATATTAACAGAAAATATTAACGTTGTACTTCTTGAAATTGAAGCATTTCAGGAGAGATTCAAAATGTTCTTATCCTCATAAATTCGTTGCAAACGATGGAAAACTTGTTCTGCAACACCAATAAATCTGGTAATTGCATGCATAACTTCATGTTCATATTGTGAACCCTTCCCAATTATAATCGCATTCAATATAAAATCTCGAGAAGCAAGTAAATGGGTCGCTATCCTGACAAGTTTCCTAACAATCCAACTGTGGTGTTTCGATAGCGTGATATCATAGCTTGCCTGACATAATGCTGAAATCTGAAATTATCCAGTAAATAGTAAATAATTTCATTCTAAGTCTACAGATAACTTCCGACGAGATCTCTGCGCCTCGTTAAACAGCCTGTTCTATTTTGGGGTAAAACAATTCGGAATGAACGTGCAGCAGAACTAATTTCACTGCGTATTTCGATACGATTGAGTAGAAGCTACTCATATTAATTGCGAACTGATGCATTAACTGAACACTTGGATGATTGCGTAACCTCTCTACGGTAAGCTCTGACATGTCTGCTGGTGGACTGTACCGCGTTTCTCGAAAATAAGACAGGTCTTATATTATTCCCCCTCACTCAAAAAAGAAAAAACGTGCTACGGGTTATTTTCAGGGGATGTCTTATTTTCGGGGAAATATGGAGCATTTCCTTGTCCACCCGCTCACTGAGGTTATCCTACTCTGCTCGCCATTTTCGGATCAATCGGACATCCAACTTCTTTTCATTACAGAAAACTATAAGCTTCTTGCCGTGAGATCTCCACAGTTCCTTTTTTGTACTCCACAGAATAGCTTTTACCACTCATTCTGTCTTTTACCACGCATGGAGACCAGACGTCGGGGAGCATCAGAGAGATAAGTCTGGAGGCTCTACGCGGCTAATCGCCACTCCCCGCGGACGTGTTGAGCGGCGACGCAGAGAATGGGATGGACTCGAGCCTCATCTAGGACTTGGTGCGGCTGTAAGGGACCCATGCCCACTGCGACTGCGGTGAGGCCGAACTAGGTCTTATTTTCAGGGGATGATTTATTTTCGAGGAAACACGGTATCTAAGATTCCAGCTTGAGAAACATTAAACATACCTGATCTCCTTCACGGGAATTTTTTAGATTCTTCAAGAAATCAACGATAAATAACAGGGCCCTATGCAGTCGAAGCAATGTTCTTGAACCCTTCAAAATAGCAATAAGAAATTCAAATTCTACGAGACACGAAGATAGAGTATGAGTAAAAGAATGGACTTTTGTCTAGTAAGATTTTCTTTGAGCTTTAATTTATATATAACTAACATAGTTACTTTTTCGGATGGTGCGCCCAAACGACATTCCCACGATATCATGCTATTTACGGTATCATAATGAGCAGGGTCTGCTATATGTAACTCATGCAAGATCTTTTCTTTCTCCAACAAATCATTCTCAACAAAAGAAAATCCTTTACTGAGGATTGAGAATAACCTGGAAAGAAGCTGCTGTAAAAGACTGAAATTAATATAAAAGCCAAAGAAAGTTTCTTATTAATGAATTCCAGAAATTAGCGATTCCTTGAAGTGTGCATATCACTGAAACAAAAGTTTTAATAATTTGTTTAAGAACAAATGATGAATGGGCTGCTTGCTAACTAACGAGGGTTACTTTTATAGGGCACTTATCTACCCAGTTCTGAAACAGGGATGCAAGGAACTTCTAAGCCGAATGCTCTACCTTTGCAGTTCAAAAGATCCACCATTCTTTATTAACAAATAAGAGTCGTCCACATCCTAATAGATCGGGAACTGGAATGTCTAAACCACAGAAGTCATTCCAAAATCAAGCGCTGGCAACCAGAGCAACAAGGTGTGCACTGCGGAATAATAGCAGAAGTGGCTTAACTTGTTTTCAAACAGGTGAAAACAAATAGTTACTAGACTCACTGTTAATAGTTCTGTCAATTAAAGGAAAAAATTCAGCACTAACTAGACATCCAATTACGAAAAATGGATGATAATCGTCAACTCGTATTTATTCTCACTTGAGTGCACTGCTTGTGGCAGGATAAAAATTTGTTCTTATAAGTTAGCATTAGCTCTCTGTTTTAGTACAGCTTTTTGAAATGAAAGTTTTGAACACTTTTTGAATTTTGTTTTAGTACAGCTTTTTGAATTAATCGATCGCATAATCGTCACTTCTTATTTTTCACTTCCCAGCCCTTTTGTTACCATTAACTGGCTTGTAATTTTGTAATGTAATCTCTACTTAACTTAAAGAAATCTAATTATTCATCTATCTTTTTTACTTGTCTTAAACAAATTAAGCAGTGAAAACTGATTATCAAAAACAAATTTCAAATCAAAACATGAAGTAGAGTGCGTTACTTGTTAATTTGTCGATATGCATCAATGTACAGCGGCAGACTAACATCACTGTGATCCACAAGTGACTTTTCAAATAGTTCAGTCACCAGATCGATATCAAACTCATTTTCTCGCGTTACAACCATCTTCGCCATTTCGTCTTCTGCCTGTTCAATCATTGTATCAGATAAATTGACAAAGTTAGTATGTAATATCCGTCATTTACATTTGAATCTCAGCAGAAAAAAAAAGGAAATGAATAAGGAGAAGGAAAGGTAAAGCAAGAAAGGGAGAGGACAAGGTCACAACTTCCACGGACTAGCTTGAAATGCTTCAATACGCTGAACTGAACTTGCGAGTTAACAATTTCATCCAATTAAACAAAAAAAGTACTTTGTCCGTGTGGTACTTCACGGTTGGATATGCGAGCATTCTTTTCCCAATTTTTCTCTTTCGGTGTTGGTGCGGTTGAGAGTGTTAGTGGTTTTGCTGACCGATTGGGGAAAGGATAGTTACTACACCGTCCGGACATCTATTTTACGCGTCATAAATCTCAGATTTTTTCGTAACGTACGTGAGATGTTCAATTATGTATGTGTATTTGTTGTATATTAACATTTCATTAGGAAAGCCATGCAGTAGAGATCAAATGGATTGGAATAGTTGGGAAGAGTTCAGAAGAACTGGATTTGACATCGTTGAAGCCGCCGTAAAATTCAGCTCTGATAACAGGTAATAAAAAGTTAGGTTTCATTCTTAAGCAGACATTTTGCTTACTCCTTAGAAATATGACTTTTTACAACTCACACATTATTTGTCATTCGATTGATCTGTTCTGTTTTCCACTTCCAGGGTTTTTTCTTTTTTAATTACATAATAGTTGATTACAAAAGCCTGGCAGTTCCATAAGGAATCAAGAATTTGTTGATCTCGTTCAAGTAAGCTGTGATATCAGCAGCGATGTAAAACAACTTGGAGCAGGATTTCTATTAGTAATTTTCATTGCAGGCAAGCATTTATTGTTTCCAATAACGATGTAATAGTCGTGGAGGTAAATAGTGGTCATCGTATACAGTTTCTCACTCATCCTGCAAAGATTGTCAGCCTTTATTATGCATTTCCGGGCAAAGTAAGTTTCGAAGTTTGCAAATGAAGCAAACCAGTGAATGAAGTTCATTATAATGCTCACAAAATTAAGATTCCAAATCGCGATGCTAACGATATATTGCAGCACTAGTTAGTTCACTTGTTGCATTGGCAGTCGTAGTGAAAAATGTTAATCTTGAGCATTCCTACTGCATTAAAAACCTAATATTTTAGGCAATAACTTATACCGCTGATGGTACAGAATATATCTGGAGCACTGATACGTGGGCTGTTCTACGTTGTCGCGAACTGAATTGTGTGCCAATTAACGTCTGGCACTCATGTGAAACAACTTTGGTTGGTTTTTCTAAAAATTTAATCAGCAGGTAAATTTATTCCTTATTTTGTGGCATTGTTTCAGGTTGTGACTAAAAGTGAGAATAAAGAATTGATTGTTACGAAGGTCGACGGAAATGAAGTTCTGCAAAACCAGGAAATTCTACGAACTGGGCCACATAATATTGGATCTTCTCAATTTGCTGTTACGGTAAGTAAACTTGGCTGTGATTGGCCTTCTCAATGAAAATTCGAACGAAATATAAGCTTTGCTGTTTCAGGCTGATTACTTTGTGTGTTGTGAGAAACTTTTTGTATATCTCTACACTTTTAATGAGGATGGAGTTAAACGATTCAAATATATTGGTAAAGCTGATTTCATGGATTCGTCACTGCTGGAATTTATAAGCATTGCAGCGCTTGGAGATATAGTAGCAGCTGCAATATCATTTGGCCGCGTATTTATATGGTTCGTCAAAATGGAGATTATGAAAAATAAGAATTTGGATATGGAAGCATGTTTCTTAGATAGGGCGAGGAGGGGATAGGTTAATCTTGCTAATGGCATCGTTTTTAATTTTATTTTAGGATAGAAGCCTCAAGCTTATATCTTCGAAATGTGTTGCACGTTTTTCCATGGCATGGTGCTTTTATATTTTTACAGTTTTACTTAGCTGAAGTTTATTTCATAAGTGATGACTTCCATTAGTATTTCCTTCTGAATATAGCAACGAGTTATTTCTGAGTATTTCATTTTTGAGTGTTCCATGAAGTTTTATTTTAATGAACTGGACTGTTAGGTTTAAAATTTCATACAACAGTAAATTCCGAATTATTTCACAGGAATGACGTGAGTCGGAAGGGTATCAGTTCGTTCAGTCACTCAGTGCATTGGCATAAATGGGCTCCATGCTTGGCTCTAACCGAATCAAATACTTTATTTTCTGCTGGTGATGAAGGTGTTTTGGCGAAATTTTCTCTCTCAGAGTTAAAGTCAATATCTAAGCCACAACTATTACCAAGATTGCAAGCACCAGTTCGAAGGCTTAATCTTTCTGAAGATGGTTCTATTGTGGCTGTTGTACTGGCTGATAATTCGGCACATTTCATTCTCAGTTCAACACTTAATGTTTTCTCTTCAATGGAATCAATTCTCTGTTCTCCGAAAAAGTCGCTCTTTCCCCTTACTGAGGATCCCCTTTACACAAACTATGTTGTACACAGTGCACGTCCTGGTTTTATGCAGTGGATTGTACCATCTACAATGATCTCCATTGCAACGGTACTTAACTGATGTTGCGTAACTTTCATCTAAACAGCTTTTGACATCAATGTGCAGTCTACCGTTGACGGATATCTAAGCAGTCTTCGTATCGATTTTTAAGTGGTAGCGATTATCCTAGTAGTTCATTACTCCTAACGATTAAGGCTTTCATTAATTTTACTGGTGACTTAAATGACAACACTGTATGCCGGACATTGCCCGTTGGAAAAAATCATTTCCTTATATCCTTCTGTTGTTAAGACAAATTATAATCAAAAAAAGATACAGATGATAAAAAGTTAGTACTGCTTCATTTATAGGTTGATGTGTCCAGAGAGAATCCGATAGAGGGAGAAAATATATTTTCTGATACAACAGGCTATATAGACGTTTGTGAAGTTGCATTGTCGCGGACAATGGTAGTGACCGCTGATTGTGATGTCAGTTTGGATATGCCAAATGTAATTTTTTAATGCGTTATTAAAGTGTTACTTAATGATTAGATTTTGAATGGTTAATTTTAGTTAAGAGGAAATAAAAATTCATCAGCCTGAATTGAAAACGAAGATTTGTTCTGTCTCTCATTAAAATCTGATCTGAAGAGGGGAAATTTTCAGAATCGGTTGCAGTTTTGGCGTCGAAATGAAGATTTGGGTTCTTTTGCTTTAGAATATTGCGAGTTATGTATTGATGGATTTATAAAGTTTATTCGGGCCTGTCTTGACTATGATATGTTCGTTACTGCTGATGATAAGGTTGGTTGTTTTGGAAACTTTTTTGGTGGATCGGTTTCAAACACAAAAGACAAGTGAAGTATTTTCTTACCACCGTCTTTTTTCTTTGCCATCTAAAGATGATTACTCTGTTAATTACATGCTAAATCATTTCAGGGAATTCTGTGCACATGGGAAAGAGTAAAAAGTGATGAGAAAAAGTGGTATAAGTCGAGCGAAGTTCATTGGATGAATGTTCCTATTTTGCATATATCAAGGATACAAAAATCACATTTTGCTGCAATTCATAATGTTTTTTTCCCTTTTAAAGTCAAAACTTCCAAGGTTATAGAATAAGTTCCAGAAGTTTTAGAATGGACAGAATTCCGAAATGAAGTTGAATTTTATTTTAAAGTTTACCATTCAATTCATTTCCAGATTAGTCAGAAGACCGATGGAATTGTTGCACTGTGGTGTGTGGAACAGGAAAAATCTCCACGCGTGCTTTACGTCCATCAGGGCAACGGCAAACTTACAGCAGTGGAATGGGGTCCTTTGAACAATGTCAACTTACTTATCATATCATCTGAAAGTTGTATCTATGCTTTCAACATATGTACACTTGCGCCATTATGGATTGTTTGCGAACCAGATTTAAAACTTGCCATAACATCGCACTTTACGGTTGCATATAATAAAAACGGTTTGTGTTTCTCCTATCGAATTTCTTCGTGTTTCTCCTACCAATTTAAAATTATTACTGAAAAGTTTCAATATTTGTATAAGACTGGAATAATATCAAAAACTACCAGAATGAATAAATGCAACAGAAATTTGTATTGTTGTTGTAACAAGCACGAGTTTTGCAGTTGTTTCTGTTATCGATAGCTCTTCCGGCACCTTACTATGTCAAAGGAAGTTAAATTCAACCCCAGAAAGTGTTATTGCTGTTGGAGAGGGCCGAACGTTTACAGTGGTTGCTGCCTACGAAAAGGTTTGCATTGTTTTTTTTTAAAAAAGCATATTCAAATCAACACATGTTTGTACATTTTGTATATATCATATAATCTAGGCTATTCAGGTTCTGTTACTATGGTCGATCAAAAATTAATATCTTTTCATCTTATCTACTGTATAATTAAACTTAGTGTTAAAGACTTCGCTTTTCATAATTTTCGTATTGCTTCACAATCGTCCTTTTCCTTCAAAAATTTTAGGGCTATGGAGTGATCGCGAGGTCAGAATTGCTAGAGGAAGCCCAAAAGCAATTGTATAAAAGGAATACAGCATTGAAGAAGACTCCGTTCTCAAATTTATTGACTATTGGTAAAAAGGAAGTTAAAAGTAACGAAGTTTTTGTTGAAACTTCATCCAATTTGGGAATCTTCTCTGGACCATCGTATTCGCTTGCACCTATGCCATATTTGGCTCAGAAATTTATTCGTTCGTGTTTTTTATTACCCCAGTAATTATGATACTACTGGGCAGTACTAGTTATGCAATAAGTTATCATGGATTATTTTAGTTTATTCCATCCTTATCTTCGTAACAATAAATTTAAGTGATTTATTCCTTTGATCTTTCCAAAATTTAAAGATTTCTTACCTTCTCCACTCAAGCCGCATTAACAGTATAAAATGAATTGTTATTCGAATACTGCTTCGAACGTAACATTGATGAAATTAAATTACCGGAATTATTATCACATCAAATACATCTTACCAAGCTTCATAAATTCAAAACTGTTTTACAATGCATACATAATACTAATTTTGGTGTTGTAATTGGTTTTAAATTTAGATTTTTACTTCGAAATTTGGAAGCAAGCATTGAAAACTTCTATCTACCACTTCTCACGTTTTTAGAAGGCTATGATGTATGACTAATCACTAAGTGTTTTGTATTTTAGTTAACGGTTGAAACTGTTTTAATATAGAAATCATTCTGATTGTGCTGTAATATTTGATATTCTGTTGTTTACTTTAATGATGAACTTCGATTACTCATTAATGATTACTCATTATTCATCATTATTCATTAATGATGAAAAGCAGGAAATTTTATGTAATAGTGGAAAGTTAGTATTTCCAAATTTTATATAAAAAAGAATCTTTGGAACTGCTATGGTGTGCTTTTATATCGCACACTGACACTGTTTCAACTTCAGACTGCATCACCTGATATTCAGTTGGATGACATGAAATGGTCATGAGAGCTTTCTCTATGCGATGGTTTGCACGTAAGGCTAAGCAGAAATGCAATGGGCGAGAATATGTGAGTTAGTGTGATTAACCAGAAATATTTTTTGGCGATGATTAAAGAAGAGAAGAGGGGAGGAGTGAAATCTTAGGATAACAACTGAATTGTTTACAGTCTTCCATAACAAGCTTGCCAATGACTTGTGTGAGGATTTCAGTAGACCACAACAGGATGGTCAAATGCCTTTCAAGTAAGCTGTTTGAAAAAGGTAGTCGAAGTGGACATTGTAGCAAAAAATTGGTTTCAGATTTCACCGTAAATTCGTCAAGTTCCGAAGTATCAGATATTTGTTTCAAAAGCTAGAAGGGTTAATTCCTTCTTCAAAGTGGACTGCCCTCTTGTTTTTGTTACTTTGAATTCTCGTGAAACGTTGAATTCTCGGTTCCACTCTATTCGGTTCGATTACAATATTGGATTTTGCTGGCAACGTCGACAAGTTTTTATTCTAAATCTTCACATCTTGTCATGTCATTGTGTGGATCCGTTTTTGAAACGAGAATACTGTGTATTGAAGCAAACAAAACCGAAAGGAATTAAAAGGATTATGGAAGCGATTTCGATTGTTGGAAAGAATCAATCAGTTTGGCAGTATTATGTGTTTATTGGGCAAACGTTTCAATCAGTGGATTTATTCGAAGCTTACGATCCTAACCAACTTTGGTTCACTAATTTATTCACTCGTTTTCTTATCGATTATCTCCGAACAAATTGTCTTGCGGTGTGTCGGTGGCAACATTTGCATATTGCAGAAGCAAATGGAGCACTTCATGCAACTGCATTCATAACCACCAAACATTGGTGATTTAAATGTTCGAAAGTCCAATTGGGTAAATCATGTAAAACGATGTTACAGATACTCTATGAATTTCCTTAGAAGAAATGATGTATGATCATGTTTGGTCATTATGGGGTCAGCTGTACAAGATATTCGAATAGATCACTTAACCTGCTTTGCATAATTCAGCATTGCTTAAACATTTATATCAAACTATCTGTGATAAATGATCGACAACCTTTTGTTATGCTATGTGTAAGAAAATTAATGGAAATGTCATTTTACTTATGAAGCCTGTGCCAGGATTTATTTTTCTCCTTCATGATTCAAGAACAGATTAAGTATTCGATTTACAGGGTTAGCACAAACTGTTTTGCTCTATTTTTTTTCGCACTTAATTTTCTTTATCAAGAAATGAATTTCAAATTCGAAAATACCAAATGTAGAATCAAGCAGATTGTTTTAAGACACATCGCTTCCTTTTTTCCAATTTTCAGTAGTTCCAGCGCAACAGGAAAGTTGCAAGAAAAATTTTTGCTGAGGAAAAGTTATAAGAGGAAAGTTATAAGGAAAAAATTGAGGAAAGTTATAAGAAAAGTTTTTGCTGCAATCCTGCCAATAAGAATTGCTATATTTAATCCGCTTTTTGAATTTAAACTGATTTGCTTAACAACTAAGTTTAAGCGCAATAGATATTGCTTGTATAATAAAGACAGCTGCCTTTCAACTAACAGTCTTCAGTGCATTTGGTAAATGAGTTTTTGTTTTAAATCTGTTATAGAGTTAGTCTACGTAAGCAATCAATTTGAAGTTGTGAATATTATGAATTTTCATTGATATAATTGGAACTTGAATAATTTGGTGAGGATTAAAATTTACGTTTTTATTATAAAAAATCTTCAAGCAAATATATGGCAGAAAAAAATAGTAATGATTGTCTTGCCTTACCTATCAATTTTCTTTTAAATTGTAAAACAAGTTGTGATTGTATGTGCACTACACATTTGCATTCTCAAAAGTATATTATATTGTTCAAAAATTTCGATCTGTTTTCCAACCAACAGTTGCTAGTTAAAAAAAAGCAATGGAATTTCATATGTTTCTTACCCGAATAGAAAGGTCAAAATTTGCAATGAGTTGGTGAATGTTGTGGTTTTCCGAAATTAATCTTTTGTTTCTTGATTTTATGTCAAACATTTTATGTTAGATTTATCCTGCGTCCAAAAATTATCCACTCAAACTTTGAAATTTGCATTTATTTTCCAACTGAATTTTTGAATCATCATTAGTAACATGGGATGGCGATGATCAACAGTATAATCATTTTTCTTTCAGTGCTGAAAAATCATCGTAAGAGGACATGTGTGATTATAAACTTAGCTCTGAGAAAAGCCAATCTTCATTTCAAGTATCCTCTGATAATCATACTAGATCATACTAGGTCCTGCTTTGGGCATGTAAAAAGAGTAAAGGCGTCATTGGCACAAATGATAAGTAGTAATGTCTGGAAATTTTCTTATGTGTTCCATTCGTTAATTGTAATTAAAACAAAAATCTGCTGGCCTTTTTGAATTTCTTTCGTTTACAAAACGAAAACAAAGTTCTTCCACATAATTCCATAGCCCAGCACCAGTCGTATGGTAGGTCATTGATTCTGCTATTGTGATAGTCAGTTGCCTAATTGACTCATTCCACCTTCTGTCTCTTATGAATCAGTTTGAATTTAAATATAGTTGACAGTACAATATTAATGCAATAAATTCTTTTCATACTTCATGTTACCTCTAATCTTCTACTTTTCGTTTGTGACCCGAATTCGATTGGGTTCAGCCATTATTTTGTTGAAGAAATCATCAAACGACAGATCGATATTTAAAGTATATCAGATAGGTGGTGATATAATTGAAAGAAGCAGTAGCGTTCTCAAAGCGACCAATATTTCTTTAGGTTTATGAAAGAATTAATTAGACTGTGTGTTGGTTCTCCAATGGACCTGAAAGTTAATTGATATGTTAGCATGCAGCCATTTTCAAACAAGCTTAATACAATAAGTGAAGAGAAACAAGCAATAGCGGCGATATGTGTTTTGCCTCTTTCCTTTCTTTTTTTGAAAATTTTTTGTGGAAAACGAAAAAGTAGCAATAGAGAATTGTAAATGCATCAGTGGAACAGCTTCGTTGCTGCATTGTTATAGGGTACTGCATTACAGCATCAGTACCACATGCACCAACACCACCGTCATCCCTGCACCACATCACTGCAAACATCTAGCAAAACATTTTTAATTTCATTTCCCCTTCCATGTTGTTCGCCTCCCTACACCTAGTTTGTCCCCTCTTACAGCTCGTTACTGACTAATGGCAACCACACTAATCCGTAATTAAGCTGAAGATGAAGGAAACTTCTAGCTTTAGGTTGTGTATGATACTGACATCCGTTAATCATTTGTCCCTTGTATTTCAGGCTCTATGGTTTTCAAGACTTCGTTCTGCATTTGATATTTTGGAGCTAAATTTTTGTGATTCTCTATGAATTTTCCTATTCATCCACTTATCACTTCCACTTTATTTAACTGATCAGGCGGAAACGGAAGTTGTATGCGAGTAACAGTGAAATAGTTCTTAGCGCAAGAATCAGATGGCTATGCTCTAATGAGTGGATCGCCGTGTTTTTCTTTTTTTTGAAAATGGCAGAAAAATGACACCACTGTTTATTGCCTGACAATGGTAGAGAGATATTTTGTTTCTTTGGGTGCCGGTGATATTAATTTAATGATAATTCATCAAGTATACTACTGACAAGCTTTTCAATGTTACTTCTCTTTCTTCCATACTGTAAGATTTCCTTTCTACCTGCATTGTTTTTTGAGTACTCCGAAATATCCTTATTCGAATTGCTGTTACTGCAGCATATCCATGAGATATCATGAGGGTTAGATTCAAGTTTGATATTCGATCTTCATTTGAACAGTTATTGGGACTGTTCTCTTAAAACATGAAATTTAGTTCTTGCTTATTTCTGTTATAAAACATGCTAGAAGTCATCCTCATCATAGCCATTCAAAGCATTAAAGGAACTTTTTCTCAATTCAATGCAATAGAAATGATAAATAAAAGAGAAACATGCTACAAGGATAACATCAGCCCCTTTGAGTCCATTCACTATCCCCGCAGTCAACAGAAGAAAAATCCACTCAATTAATGAAATGGAATTAATCGTAAAATGACTCGTACTCGTAATACTGATGATAGTAGTAGTAGAAGAATAACTAATGTTATGCAGCGAATGATGGAAGAAAAGGACGGGTAAGTAGAAATAGGTAGGAAGGGTAGTTCTGGGTAGTTCATTCTAAATACAGTTATTGTTATTGTTTGTTACTTGTTGTTATTGTTTATTCTTTGTTGCTATTGTTTGTTGTTTGTTGTTGTTGTTTTATTATTATTATTATTATTATTATTGCTATTATTATTATTATTATTATTATTATTATTATTATTATTATTATTATTATTATTATTATTATTATTATTATTATTATTATTATTATTATTATTATTATTATTATTATTATTATTATTATTATTATTATTATTATTATTATTATTATTATTATTATTATTATTATTATTATTATTATTATTATTATTATTATTATTATTATTATTATTATTATTATT